TCTTAAATTTTGATGGTGCTCTATACTTGCTAGTTAAAATTCATGTTCCTTCAAATTTGATTAAATTAGGATTCAATTGTTTGATTCCATATGGAGTTAACATCAAAATGAATTTTATGAGTTGGAAATTATGGATATTATGGAAATTGTTCCAAGCATCGTGTCATGAACTTCCAATTTTAGTGTATTACTTTTGTGAAAAGATATGTTGGTTTTGAAATCTTTTCTGAAAATTACTTTTGGTGCTGTGATTGAAGAAACTGTCAGACAATGGTCTCTGCCACTTCTTTTCTTATAAACTTCAAGAGTTAAATTGATTTTGAAGATTCATTTTGTTTTTTGTTTTTTTCCTTTCCGTCAGGTGTTAAATGCTGGAAAAAATAAGCTTAAATCTATGGATGAGGTGAAATATCTTGTGAACTTACGTGCTTTGATTTTGAATGGTGAGATTTGTCGCATATCTTATTTTGTTGATACTTTATTGTGCTATTATCTTAATCCTCTCTGTCTCTCTATCATTTCTACCCCTCTCACTCATACGTTTTCCTTTGCTTCCTTGGCTACTTTGCAGACAATGAAATTGTTTCTATGTGTAGGCTTGATCAATTGAAAGACTTGAATACAATTGGTACGAATTCTTGTGCTGATTACCTTCCTTTGAGTCAATCTCCTCTCCACCCACATGATAAATAGTTCTACAAAAATTTCAGTTCGTCTTTATCAAAGCTACTTATATATTATTGAAAAAGGGTTAAGGAAAAATCTGACAGAAACCAGACCCTACAAAAGAATTAGAGTCTCGTGAGGTTAAATGAATGGTATCTTTTCCCAAGATTCATTCTTGCACCTGTCTATGTACAAAACACCTTTTTTTTTTTCTTTGAATTTGAGATGAAATTTGAAAGTTTAGTTAACAGTGTGTTTCAGGTTGCTTATAAGCACGTTTTAAGTATTAAAAAAATGGTACCTTCGCCTTGACTCTTTTTCTTTGGGTATTGGTTTTAAGTACTTATGACAGTTGATTGCTTAGTTATCCTCCTACATTCATTTTGTTATTTTTACCAAATTACGAAAAGTATTTGTTTTTTATAATAAATATTTTTATTCAAACATATAGCTATGTATTGTTTAATGGACGCATGTTTTATAAATTGCTTAGAACCACCAGTATTTTTTTTTTTTTGTAGATTTCCATCATAAATCTCGAATACCCAATTGTGATTTTTCCTGGTTTTGTTTGGTCGACTTTCCTATATTGTCAAAAATTGTTTTCAGTTAATTCCTTCTTTTTATTTAATCATTATGGTGGGTATTGCGATTATCGTTGGCTTGATTTCAACATATTCCATTAATTGAATAAACAATCAAAATTTGTTTACCTTATGATGCAAATTATTAAGAATTATGTATTGCACTGTGTCCCAATGTTATCCTGGTGTTTTCTTTATTACCTTCTTGAACTTGATTAAATTGCTAATAGTTTTAGTATTGTGTTACTTCATTTCGGAACAGTTCTTTGTTTTATTTTTGTGACCTTCATGGTTAATGGAGATTCTTCCCTCAGAACAAGAAAATTGAATTTGACTATTGCAAATATTTTTTTTTCATTGTAGTAGTCTTTACAGCTTCTGTTTTGCTCTTTGGTTTATTGGATTTACTGCAGTTCTATCTAGAAATCCTATCTGTGAAATTGGTGGGTCTCTTGCCGAGGTGAAGCATGTCACAAAGGTAAGCAGTTTGATGGTCATTGGTTCAGTTGGATTCTAAAATCATTTCGATACTGTAGAATGACTTTTGGTTTCAGATTTCTCTTTCTAATTGCCAAATTCAGACAATTGACTCTTCCCTCAAATCCTGCGCGGAGTTAAAGGAGCTTCGACTTGCTCACAATGAGATCAAGGTAACTACTCTATGTGCTTATTTTCAAAGAATTTCTCTTTGAATGTCGGTGTTAGTTTCATTAAGTTCCTTTGATCATTCACATAGTTTCCCATGGTTAATTTTTTCAATGAAATTGATGATAAGATCTGCTATTTCTCCTTTCCCTGACCCTTTTTCCCTATGAACTGCTCAGGCACTCCCTGCTGAGTTGGTTTATAACAAAAGGCTCCAAACCTTGGACTTGGGAAATAATGTTATAACCAGGTGGTCTGATTTGAAGGTTAGGAATATGAATGTGATTTGTAAAAATCTCTTCCTCTTTTTTGGTTTATTCCTTTCACTTCAATTTGATTATGTTCATTGGCTACATGCTGAAGCAGGTTTTGGAATCATTAGTTAACTTGAGTAATCTCAATTTACAAGGAAATCCTGTTGCAGACAAGGATAACATAACAAAAAAGGTAACATGCCTTCATAGATACCTTTTGAATAATGTTAAATATATTGTGCTGCTCTCTTAACATGCATATTCGAAAACAATATCATTGCAGGTCAGAAAGCTAATTCCAAACTTGCATATATTCAATACTAGACCAATAGATAAAAGCAAGAAGAACGAAAAAAGTGACAGATGTGATGCTGCTGCTAAGCTAGTAGTCAATGAAGAAGTGAAAAGAGATAACACCATTGAAGATGACTACAAACATCATGTGGCGGACAAAGACAAAGAGAAGTTCCCGAATGATGCTGGTGATTTTGATGTGGGAAAAGAACTGAAGCGAAAAAAGAAGAAAAATGTTGAACTTTTGAAGAAAGAACGATTGCATGAGGATGATGGTAAAGCTGTCGGAAAGAAACCAAAGAGGAAAAGATCAAAGGCGGAACAAGGCGAACTCGATGTCATCGATGATGGAGAAACTCCTTTTATGGACCTTTTCACTAGTGATAAGAATCAAGTAGATGATGGTGAGAAGGTACTCAACAGAAATGCAGACTTTGAAGGTGGCTCGGTTACCTACCCTACTAAGAAAAAGAAAACCAAGAACCGGCACATGGGTGCACTCAAAATGTCTCCGGAGATAAAAGTTGGATTGGGTGGACCATCAACATGGGATAATTAGTATTTATCTCTCTTCCTTTTCGAGTTTGATGACTTGAAGATAGTGATATAACTCTCTAATTATAGAGTTGATGACTTGAATCCGAATTTTACGTCTCTAATTATGTGTGAGAGAAGAAAACTCAAGACTCTCTAATTTCAAAATTAATGACTTGTGATTGATTGGTGCGATTAGTTTTTAGTATGAAAATCGAAACTAGAAATTGAGTAAGAATTGAATGGGAAAAACGACGTGATGATAATTGATACGTCTGAGATTTAACCGTTGAGATTAAAAAAGTACAAATAACCCTAACCCTAACGGGGGATGGCTAAAGTTTTGTGCGGATCAACAAGATGAATGTATCTTACTAGTGTTATGAAAAATGTAATTAACATCGGTTATAATACAATTTCATTTCATATGAAAGTACATAAAGAAGTAGAGATTAAATCATAGTTATAAACTGTTTGTAAAAGAAGAAATTGAACAAATTAATTAGCTTCAATCACAATTATAGCCAGTCAAATACAGAATATAAATGTTACTAATCCTTGATTTGTAAGATGTCGGAGTGAATAATATGAAAGCTGTTGCGAAAACTGAGTTGATGTGTGAGACATTATTGCAGTCAGCCATCGTAATAATAATATTTAGACCACCATCACTAACAACTCACTCAAAACTTCTTATTCAACAATAAAATAATCTTGCAAGTGTCAACAAAAGGAGGAAAATTTATACACTGATTACATTATATTTAAGAATATGGTGTCTCTGTGTGTGTGTGTGTATATATATATATATATATATATATACCCCATGCAGCCTACTAATCCACTTACCAAACTACCCTAAACATAAATTAAATTTTAATCTAACTATGCTATGCTACCCTACTCTTACCTTACCTTACCTCATTTTTTAACCAACTCTTAATCTGAAGTTCTGAAAATAGCTCTCTGCATAATATATATATATATATATATGTATAACTAACATATACGTAATGAAGTTGAATATAATCATTTCTGTTGATAAGGATAAAAAATATCATTGGGTTCTTCTTATCCATAATATTATTTTAATTATTAATAAAATAAATAAAAAAGTTTGAAGATCTCTTTCACTAACCTACCAGCCAAGAGAAGCCGTTAGTAGAAAAGTAGACACACGGTTCGTCAAAACATGTCATGACGCCATTGTTGACTCCTTCACCTTCCTCCTCTCGCCTTCTATAAAAATCCTCTGTCTCTGGTTTTCACACCGACTCGTTCATCTCCATCCTCAACACACAAAAAAAAAAAAAGACGAGAATATCAACCCACCGTTTCTGTCTGCTTACGTAAATATGAATTCTTGCTTAACCGGGACGTCTGATTATAGCGCCGCCGAATTGATCTCCACCGTCCATCCCGACATCATCAAGACCCATATCTTCACCCGTCTCGACGGCGCCAGCCTCCTCTCCGCCGCCTGCGCTTCCTCCAAGTTATACTCCCTCTCCAACGAGGACAACCTCTGGCGCGAAATCTGCACTGCCGCGTGGCCTTCTATCTCCGACCCGCGTGTCACCCGCGCCATCTCCACCTTCCCCGTCGGCCACCGCTCCTTCTTCTCCGATTCCTTCCCAATCCTCGATCAGCACTCGTCAAATCCGCGTCTGCGGTCTTCGACGATCACGCCGGAGTTAATCTCGGCCGTCGATATTTACTACCAGGGTAAACTTGTAATTTTCTCCAAAGTCCAAGAAACAGAGACGGCGACCGGCTGGTTTCTCTCCTCGCCTTTCCGGGTCGATTTACTCGAACAAGAAGAGTCGGTCCCAACCCGGATAAGACACCAGGGCCAAAATCTTGCTCGCCACTTGGAAGAAAACTTGACGCTGAGCTGGATACTCGTCGACCCGACCCGAAACAGAGCCATGAACGTGTCGAGCCGGAGACCGGTTTCCGTTCAGAGGAACTGGTTTACAGGCGACACGGAGGTCATGTTTGCGACGATCATGGGGGGAGATGAAGGGCGGGAACCGGAGATTGTGGAGTGCAAAGTGGTTGTGGCGTGGTCGGGGAAGGAAGGAGGGGTAGTGGAGGTGAGGGAAGTGAGCATGGTGGTGGAGGACATCGAAGGAAGGAGGTTGAGCGGGAAGGAAAGTATGGAGGTTCTGGGAGGAGCGATGGAAGGAGGAAAGAGAAAGAAGGAAGGGAAGGAGGAGGAAGAGAAACAGATATACAAAGGGTTTGTGAGTAGGAAGAGGAGTCACAGAGAGAAAAACAAGAAGAAAGAGGAGGCTACAGATTTGGCTTGCATGGTTCTGGGTGTCACCATTTTCATAGCCTTTCTGTTCTTTGTTTTGTTAAGATAAATTCTTGTTTTTCTTTCTTTAATTTTACCCACAAGAAGAAGAAGAAGAAGAAGAAGACAGAGCATACACATACCACAATATTATATACAGAAATACAGCCTCTGTGTAATTGAAATTAATGAACTCATATTCTTTTTAACTGTAATTAATCCTTCTAATCAAAATTTATACACAATCAAACCTCTAATGATCGAACAACACAACTAATAATCTCTCCCAACTCAGACCTAAACCCACTTTCTGGTATTTAATTACTCTAAACTGGTACCAATTGGATTCCACTTTTGTTCTTCCTCGGGGGAGCTTGGAAAGACCCTCTTGCGGGTGGGCCAAGATCAGCACTGACGGCTCGTCCGTGGGGCACCAAAGACCAGCAGGGATAAGGGGTTCGATCAAAAAGACACCAATGGGGTTAGTGGGCGAAATGCTTTTTCCATAACATCAACATCTCTACACCGCTTTATTCTAAAGTCTTAAATTTATTCAAAATGTTAGGATGAAGCTTCTCGCTAATGTCGACTTCTCCTCGTACTTTTTAACTAATTGTTTCGCGATCGTAAATTAAACCACTACTAACTAGAAAATCGGATATTTAGATTTTGTATACCTATTAAGAAGATAATAATTAATGTCTTGTATTACGTCATCTGATCGAAAAGCTACGCGTTCGTCTTTATTTAAATCGTTACGATACCATTTAAAGATGGTCTAATTAAAAATGTAGTACGATTCATAATTTTATGTCAGGTAAAAACTTTGGAACGACTAGTTACTCGAAATTTTGATACGAACGTGGATTAAATTAAATTAAATTAAATTATAATCTTATGTAAAGTTTGAATTTAGTTTTTACTAATTCTATTTATAAGTACTTCATCAATCGGGCCAGGCCCCCTGCACGTTTGGACTTTATTCTTAAATTAATTCATCTTTTCTCTTTGGTTATGGGCTGGGTTTTAATTAAATAATCCTCTACTTTTCTTCACACACACACACATAATATATATATACATACGTATATAATAAATTAATACACACAAAAAAAATTTATATATATATATATATATTATATAGTGAATAAAGAGTTTTTATCACGTGATTTAATTAGGTCAAGAAAATAAGTCGACACTTAAAAGAATCAGCATTTAATGTAACAAAATATTATATGACGTTTGAAGATAAGAAATAATTAACTACGTTATGGAGATATATATACAATTATTTTTCAGAACCTGTAAATAAATCACGTGTCTAATTTTCTGCTTATATATATATATATACACACACACACATATATATACACACACGAGGAACACGGCCTTAAATTGAATTTACTTAATTATATGGGTTCCAATTAACTTCAAATCTAATTACAAAATAATCTTTAATT